GCCCCACACACCCAGCGGTCCTCTGGAATGACATGTCTCTCTTCGGGTGCTCCCTCCCCCTCCAAATATTCAGGTTTGCGTGAGAGAGCGTCCGCCCTAATGTTCTCTGGGCCTGGCACGTAACCAATCTCAAAGTTAAATTTGGAGAACTCCTGGGCCCATCTCACTTGCCGTTGGTTGAGCACTCGTGCCGTCCTCCAATACTCTAGGTTCTTGTGGTCAGTGCACACTTGCACCTTATGTTGTGCGCCAATTAGCAGGTGCCTCCATCTCCGGAACGCCTCATGAATGGCTAGTAGTTCTCGGTCATACACCGTGTAGTTCCTCTCGGATTTGTTCAGCTTTCGCGAAAAAAAAGCACACGGTCTCCACTCTGACTCCTCCTTCCCTGGCTGCAGAAGCACCGCCCCAATCGCTCTGTCTGATGCGTCAGTTTCCACTCTCATCGGTGTGTGTACATCCACATGCTGGAGTTGTTGTTCCGAGGCGAAGGCCCTTTTTAGTTCCTCAAATGCTCGCTCCGCCTCCTCAGTCCAAACGAACTTCTTCTTACTGCTGAGACAGTCCGTAATGGGCGCCGTCAGGTGGGCAAAATTTCGGATGAACTTACGATAGAAGTTCCCAAATCCTAGGAACCTCTGCACATCCTTCCTTGTTTTGGGTGTTTTCCATTCCAGCACCGCCTGGACCTTGCCGGGATCCATGGCCAATCCCTTGTCTGACAGGCGATACCCCAGGAATTCCACCTCCTTGGTATGAAACTGACACTTCTCCAGTTTCACCCACAGCTGGTTGGCTTGCAGCCTGCTCAACACTTCTCTGACGTCTTTCACATGCTGCTCCTCATTCTCAGAATACACCAACACGTCGTCTAAGAAGGCCACACAATTCTTGTAAAGCAAAGGCCCCAGGACGTGGTTCATAAACGATTGAAAGCATGCGGAGCCTGCTTGTAGGCCGAAGGGCATAACCAAATATTCAAATGCCCCTAAAGGGGTGAACATGGTGGTTTTCCATTCATCCCCCTTCCTTATTCGTATCAGGTTGTACGCCCCCCTTAGATCCAGCTTGGTGAAAATCTTTCCCTTCCGCACCCTTGTCAAAATGTCGTCAATCCTGGGCATCGGGAAGGCCACTGGTTCTGACACTGCATTTAAGGCCCTGAAGTCACACACCAGCCTCGGCTTGTTCGTGTTTTTTTTATCCACAAAAAACACTGGGCTGCCCCCCACCGCCCTGGACTCTCTGATGAACCCTCTCTTCAGGTTCTTGTCAATGAACTCTCTTAGCTCCTGCATCTCTCTGTCTGACATGGCGTACAGCTTGCCTACAGGGAGCTGTGCCCCAGGGAGTAAATTGATTTGACAGTCAAAGGGTCTATGCGGGGGTAGTTGGTCAGCTTCCCTTTCGCTGAAGACGTCGCGGAGATCTGCGTATTGTCGTGGTACCTTCACGTTCTCCGTTACTTCAGTCCCTGCTAGGGTGGCTTGGGCCCCTGCCAAACCCTTTCCCTCTTTGCAGTGTTCTAAGCAATGTGCTGAACCAAAAGAAACCACTCTCTGATGCCAGCCCACCAGCGGATCATGTAACGCTAGCCAGCTCATCCCCAATATAATGGGAGCTCCTCCCAAGGTGGCCACATTAAACGCTATCAGTTCGGTGTGCCTTGCTACCTTCATTATCATTGGGACGGTCTGCAAGCTGACTTCTCCTCCCAACAGCTCCCTGCCATCGATCGTGGTCACCTGCAGGGGGTTGCTTAAAGGATCGTCTGTATCTGGTGTTCAGCTGCAAACTCTTTGCTCATGAAATTGCAGGAGCTGCCTGAGTCCAACAGCGCCTTTATCTTTAGAGGGTGTCCGTTTGGCAGCTCTAGCGCCACTTCTATCACTAGGGCGGGTTTAGGAGGTTCTGGCGTGGGCACTCTCACTGCTCTTTGGCCTGGCTGCTGTGCCCCGACGGTGGCAGCCAGGCGTTGGCTTTACTTGCTCCGGTATTTCTTCCTCTCTTCCCTCCACAGCTCCTACCATCCCTTGCCATTCCTTCCTCTGAGGGCAGACTCTGGCAAAGTGACCTGGCTGTTGGCAGAGATAGCATTTCCGGGCGCGTTTTCCCTCCTTCTTTCCCCCTCACTGGGCTTTGAAACTGCGCGCGCGCGCTGTTCCGATTTCCATCGGCTCTGCCGGCGGGAAAGTTGGCTCTGGAATGTCTGGAATGCGGAACTCCTTCCAACGTTCCCCCTTCCCTTCCCGCCTCTCCAATGCTCTCGCCTCCTGGCGCGCTCCTATGGTCAGCGCTGATTTGGTCAGCTGGTCCATAGACTCCGCCCTGGGCGCCCGGGAAAGTTCGTCTTTCACAGCCGAAGAAAGCCCTTCTTCAAAGAGCATTTGAATGGGTTCCGCCGATAAGTCCCACCCCAATCTGTGAACCAGCATGGTGAACTCAGTCCAGTACTCACGGACAGATCGGCTCCCCTGTTTGCAAGCCATTAACTGTCTGCGCACCACTCCCTGTTCAATATCGCTGGAAAACATCAGATCCATGGCGCGAAAGAACTTCATCGTGTCCTTTAGGACGTCACTATTCGCTGCCATCAGGGGTCTAACCCAGTCTCTCGCCCCCTTTTCAAGATGCCCAATCACGAAAGCCACTCGTGATTCCTCGTCAGGAATTCATCAAACTGCAGATTGAGGGCATATTGCATCTCTGTCCGAAAGCCATGATAGTCTTTGGGCTCCCCCCCAAACTTCTGCACCAATCCTGGTACCTTTCTGGCGAGCTGGGTGGCTTTCCCCTTTTGTCTGCATCCTGAGCCCTCCTCTCCTCAAGCCTCGCCGTCTGCAGCACTAGCTGGACCTCCAACACCCGGTACCTTTCTTCCAGGCTTGGACCCGCTCCAGCTCCTGCTTCTCCGGTTCCGGCTGGGTTGCTCATGATGCCTTCTCCTGCACAAGCTGCTTTCAAAGACTGTCGGAATGCTGTGATGGGATGAGGAGCTGCTTGTGCGTAAAATAGTATCCCCTCAGAGTTTGTTCAGGTCCACAAACCTCTGTCTGTGACGGAGCCCCTCAGACATGGCTCCTCTAGTCACTAGCAGATTCCGACAGTGGTTGCTTTCGGAATCGCTTCCAACATAAAAGCTCCTTAACGGAAACACGTCTTCTGGACTCTCTGCGTGACAGTTTCCGGCGAGGAGTGGGTGTTCCTACAGGAGGTCCTGAAACCTCCCCACTGTTTTCGCTGGAAGTGTCTCTGAGCCATCCCTCCAGCTCACTTTCCCTCAGCTCCAGCTCCTCTCCCCTACTGGTTCCCTCTTCAGCTGCTGAGTCTCTCCCAACCTGTGTGAGCCCTTTCACCTCCCTTCCTTCCGATGGCAGTTCCCTGACAGGAACCCACAGTTTCTAGAAATGCTGGGCATAGATAGAGCAGAGAGTTAATGAGAATTTGCCGTAAAAGCATGGAGGATGGGTGAAATATCCAGAAAATAAATTTTATTTCCTATTTCTGTACATTTACCTGATTTCGCTGTCTCTTTGTTTCACTGCTTGTCTGGTGGGAAGGCTTGCTAATAAATATGTAAGTTTGTACATAGAAAAGAAAAATATAGGGTAGTGTGCTAGTAACACAATATCAAATTGAAATTGAAAACATTGTAGGTGAGATATAATATCACATCTGCAGATGCAATGGGGTCTCTTGCCTGCCCTCCCCCCTGCTGTCCCTCAATCCTCTATAGCATATTTGGGGGCATACAGGGGACTGAAGGAGGAAGAGGAGACAGGGGAAGTCCTGTTTGTGTAAGCAGAAGTCTGAGTGAGACACCCCTACTGGATATTCTTCTATGACACTATTAATAATAATAATAATAATAATAATAATAATAATAATTTTTATTTATACCTTGCCCTCCCCAGCCAAGACCGGGCTCAGGGCGGCTAACAACCACTAATAAAAACAAGTTGATTAAAATACAATTTAAAAAACAAGATTAAAATACAACATTAAAACATTAGGATGCAGCCTCTACACAGGAGGAGAAAGGAGAAAGAAAGAGGGGGAGGGAATCAAACTGATTCTAAGCCAAAGGCCAGGTGGAACAACTCTGTCTTACAGGCCCTGTGGAAAGAAATCAGATCCCGCAGGGCCCTGGTCTCATGAGACAGAGCGTTCCACCAGGTCGGAGCCAGTGATGAGAAGGCCCTGGCTCTGGTTGAGGCTAATCTAACTTCCTTAGGGCCCGGGACCTCTAGGGTGTTGCTATTTATGGACCTTAAGGTCCTCCGTGGGGCATACCAGGAGAGGCGGTCCCGTAGGTCCGAGGGTCCGAGGCCGTGAAGGGCTTTAAGGGTCAAGCAGCACCTTAAATCTGACCCTGTACTCCACCGGGAGCCAGTGCAGAATGATTTTATTGGAAATCAATAACTTATATAGAAACATCGTTTAGATAGATAAAGCTCCTGGCTGGCACTTTGGTGCCAGAATAACATACAATATTTGCAGAAATGAGTTTCAAAAATAATAATAAAATAAAATAAAATAAATGAGTTTCCAGTTTTGGTTGGAAGCAGGGTTTTTTCCCCCCAGCCAGAACTCACCAGAACTCAGTTCCGGCACCTCTCAGGTGGGCACCATTGCCATTATAAGAGAAAAAGGGAGGTGTTCATGGTGAGTTCCGGCTCTTCTTTCTCTAGTAAAATAGCACTGGTCTGAACTATGAACTATGACTGAACTGTGGTTCATATGACTGGACGTTTGCCCAATTTTGATGCCAAGGGGAAGGTAGCAAAACTAGGGCAAAAATATGTTCTTGTTATAAGGACAGATTCTACCATATCATCAGAAGCTGTGCACATTCCTGCTGTTACATTAATATTTATGGTTTCAAGCCCATCTCAACACAAAACATTCTTCTCTGAACTGCTCTTCTGTTAATTTCTAGCACGCAAATGATTAATTTATGAGAGCGATTTCTTCATTAATTTATGTTTATAAATATTGCAGGTTGGTCTTTTAGGAAGAACTGGCTCAGGGAAAAGTACGCTGCTTTTTGCTTTTTTAAGACTCTTGACCACAGAAGGAGATATTCAAATTGATGATGTCTCCTGGAACACCGTCTCTGTGCAACAGTGGAGAAAAGCATTTGGAGTAATACCTCAGGTAAATTTACACTAGCCTGTAAAATAAGTTTTTACATAAATCAATCTGCCCAAAATTGTACTTTGTTGATGCACTAAACTTCAAATTGATTTAAAGTTAGAAAAGTGGAAAAGAAATAAAACCAGACCAGATAGATATAAGACTTAAGAGTAGGACAGAACGTGTGTGCATTCTTGTCTTCCCTGTTTGCAGGGCCTTCTCTGTAGTGGCACCCTAGTGATGGAATTCCCTCCCCCTGGACACAAGGATAACCCTCACAGTACTGGGCTTCTGTCATGAAGTAAAAATGTATCTGTTTACCCAAGACATTGGTGGAATTATGTTAAAAGATTAGCAACTTCATAGCTGAGTTTTGTAAGAACTCGTGAGTGGATCCTATCTGGACCCAGTAACGTGTTAGTTTTTAGTTTGTCAGACAGGCCCACACCTTAATTTCCTATCACCGCTATTTACCTCAGTTCCTTATACGCCTTTCTTAAGAAAGTTAATCCGGTTCAAAGATGAATGAAATTGTAATAAAGGATTAATTCAGCAATTGCCTTTTCCTTCTTTAGCACATCTCCCTTGTCATTCCAAGGTCTGTCTGCCTCCATGGCTTGTTTCCTGCTTCAAATGTATTTAAATAATGTTTAAGTATTGTTGTTAATGCTTTTATCATCATTATTTTTTGCATCCCTTATTGTCTGCTTGCATTCCTTTTGCCCAAGTTTGTGTTCCTTATATGGGCAAGTATTCCATTTTCTGAAGGAAGTCTTCTTGCTTCTGTTAGCTTCTTAATAGCTTCCACAGTATCTTCTTCGCCTGGGTGGTACCTCTCCTGGTCTGCATTCCAGTTAAGCTGCTATTATTGTGGTTTTGAATACCCACCCTCAATCATTCTGGGGAGATTTCACCATCTTGACTTTCCTATTCAACTTCCTTTTTACCAATCCCTTCCTTTTTTTTAACTCCTCTTTGGAAGCCAAGTGTGACTGTGGTAGACTTTCTTGGCAATTGTCCACTTACTACTTACATATCTCTTGAATTTACTAGTGCTGAGGTCATTGTTTCTAAACGGTTCAACACCACAGGTCTCAGGGGCCACTTAAGTCCAGAGTCTGGTCATTTCCATGACAAACTTTTTGTTTGGAACACTGCATTTGAACCCACTCTTCGATAAAAATACTGAAATGTTTGCTCTGTGCTCAGGCTAACATACCTGTTCATTTCTTACTAATGGTAACTGGCTTAACATAGTCACATTCAACACTTGCCAAGAAATTTAAAGTAATTCCTCCAAGGTTCTCAGTTACTGATAAATTGGTGTGTCTACTACCTCCCCTGCTGCACTTTTAAAAGTAAGCAACAGAACAAAGAAAGCCTTTTGTGTTCCTGCTTCTAACCAAATTTTAATATTTGTTTGCTCTTTCCCTGTTCCCCGGAAGAGATGCAAATTTATTTTTAAAACTCTGGAGGTTACGTTCAAATGTAACATCCTGTCCCCAGTTCACTGTTTCATTTTAAAAAATAATAAGTTTTTCCTTGCTTACTCTCAGTGGTTTCTTTCCTTCACAGAGCTTTCTTACACTGGATCAAGATGGTTGAATTCGTTAGGTGACCTGCCTCTAATTCCTGCTGTTAATTGCAGCGGTCAACCATTCAGGAAGGTTTTCAAGAAACCTCACTAGGCTCTCCCAGGAAATTACTTCCACATAACATAAATTTCTTCTCAGTAGCAGGCATTAGCTCTCCAACACTTCAAGGCATTAGAGTTCATTCAGTGTGTCTAAAAAGAATTGGGAACTGACAATATTGTGTGCCTCAGAATTGTTCTGACTTTCCTGGGACCGCAGTCTACTCATATCACTTAAATGAACTTCATACCTGTCTACTTTCAATATGTAAAAAATGGAGTACAGTTGCAATTTAGTGGCCCTCTTGTGTTACTGCCTGTAAAAGACACAAAATCCTTGTCAGGGAGGAAAAAGGAGTCTCATGGCAACACTAAGCATTGTTCTTAGTGGTCCATCTTCCTCCTATTAGAAAATAATGTGAAATGGGGAAAGGGAAACTTTGAAAAGAGCAAGTGGCAAGACAATGCTTACTCCATTTGGATACAATTATAAGCACCAAAGAATGCAGTTTAGGGTATGTGTGGCTTGCTAGCATTAGCAAGAAGTTGAACTTGTAGTACCTTCTACAGTGGTACCTCAGGTTACATACGCTTCAGGTTACAGACTCCGCTTGTTGATTTAAGCAGAGTCTCGTTGCCAGCGGAAGGATGAGTAATACGTGCTACATACTCTACATTGCTTTATTTACAGTTCAAAGCTGGTATATTACAGAAAGACATCTTGCCTCTGCAAGAGCAGAAAAATGCATCCTCTCTCCTCGACAGCTCGGAGAGAATCACAGTGAAAAACAGGAAACCAGTGTACGTCACATCCAGTCTCCCTTTCCCGTGAGAAACTCCAACAGTACAGACTGTGGAATGTAAACACCTGTCTCGAGACAAGCAGAGCTGCACAGTGAAGGAAAGCAGAAACCAACATCCCCCCCTTTCTGTGAACATCACTGGGCAGCGTGTTTGTACAATATCAGTACAAACCCAACTTCTGCACATAGGTACAGTGTTGATCCCTTGATACAATCTTGGACAATACATCAGCAGGAATTTCATTACCTGGCATATAGGACACCGTTACGAGTCCCTTCTGAATACATTCCCTAGCATGCTGCAACTTTAATTGCAAGTGCTTTGTGCTTTGCTTACAACCTTCAGACTTCAGCAAAGCCAAACATGCTTTGTTGTCCTGGTAAACCTGGATTGGACATTTGACAGGAATTTTCATATCTTTGCACAATTGTACTAACCATTCACAATCCTTAAGTGAATAAGACAGTGCATTCAGTTCGGCTTCACAAGTACTTAAGCTAACTGTTGTTTGCTTCTTGCATGACCAATCAAACAGACTCTGATTGTACATGTAGCAAACTCCAGACGTACTTTTCCTGTCTGTAGTGTCACTTCCAAAACTTGCATCTGCAAATATCTCAAGACCACCAGACTTCTGATTGTTAAATCTCAGTCTGTAATGCATAGTGCCTTTCAAATACCGCGCTATGCGTTTCAGAGCTTTCCAATCCTTGACACTAGGATTGTTGACTTGTCTGCTTAGCAAATTACAGCTAACAGCAATGTCTGGTCTTGAACATCTGGCAATGAAGTTTAGCTTGCCTAGCACACTCCTGTACAGTGTAGTGTCAGAAAATGCTTCTTCAGTGTCATCTACCTGATAACCTGTTGTCATCGGTGTGTCTACAGGGTTAGCATCCATCAGATTTAGTTTGCTTAACACATCAGCAATTTTCCGTGACTGGTGTACTAGAATGTTACCATCTTGATCTCTCTCTATTTCCAGAGATAGGTAGTTGTTTACCTCACCAAGATCTTTCATGTCAAAGTGCTCTTTCAGTTGAGCTAGGGCGCTATTGTACATTGCGACATCTTTCCAAAAGAATAATAAATCATCAACATAAAACAAACAGTACAGTTTCTTTTGCCCCTCCTCTTTGACAAATACACATGGATCAGCTTTCCCTTGCTGAAAACCTAGAGAAAACAATACTTCAGTGAGTTTTGTGTGCCAACACCGTGCACTTTGTTTGAGACCATAAAGGGATTTCTTCAGAGCACAAACAAATCCCTGTTTTACCTGTACGCCATCAGGTGGAAGCATATAAAGTGATTCATCTAGAGATCCGTACAGAAAAGCTGTATTAATATCATGGTGACTAATGTGTAGATTTTCCTCTGCAGCTAGCTTAAGCATAAGCCTAATGCTTTCATATCTCACTGTGGGTGAATAGGTCTCGTGATAGTCTTCACCTGGTACCTGTGCAAAACCTCTGGCTACCAATCTGGCTTTGTGTCTGACTATCTTGCCATTTTGATCTGTCTTCGCTTTGAAGACCCATTTGCTTCCAAGCAGTTTCATTCCTGGAACTACTGGAACTAGTTCCCATGTTTTGTTCCTTTCTAAGGAATCAAGCTCAGCCTTCATGGCATTTAACCATGGCTCAGCTTCCTTTGAATCCAAACCCTGGATTTCTTGGAAACTTGAAGGTTCAAATACCTTCTTGGAGCTTTTAACAGCTGTTACTGCTATCTTAGCAAACTCATCAGCAAATCTCTTTGGAGGTTTGCCTTTTGTGGCTCTCTGTGACCTACGAATTAGCCTTAAGTCTTCAACACTCTCCTCTTCCTTCTTAGGAGAAAAACGACCTATTGTGAACAATGGTTCCTCCAATTCTTGATCAGAGCTTTCAGAGGGTCGCATAGAGGCTTTCGCACTCTCGAAATCCTCTGAATCACCCGATTCAGTTTCAGATTCAGACTCAGAACCTTCATCAGTGGGTGTGGGCTGTTGTGGTTGCTTTTGACTATCCTCAGTCTCATCACCGTCATCAGGATAACATTGGAAAATTCCCACATTCTCCCCCACTTTGCATTGTACTCAACACTTCTCGTGAGCTTAATTGTCTTAGAGTCAGTCATCATTATTCTGTAAGACCCTTTCTGATAACCTAGAAAGATACCATGCAATCCACGCTTGTCTAACTTGGAGTTTTGTGGTGAGCGAACCCACATGTCAGAACCAAAATCTTCATGTGTTTGATGTATGGCTTCTTGCCAAACATCTTCTCATAGGGTACCACCAAGCGCGGACGATACTCAGCGATTGTAACTGTAAACAAAACACGAGAGAGATTCGGCCCAATAACTCTCTGGAAGATTGGCATCATGCAGCAAGGTTTTTAACCCTTGAAGCAAAGTCTGATTTGCCCGTTCCGCAAGTCCATTCTGCCATGGCGAGCGAGGACTAGACAAATCGTGTTGAATTCCTTTCTCAGTCAGAAAAGCTTCAAACTGCTGAGAAGTGAATTCCCCCCCGCGATCACTGAAAAGAGTCTTTATCTTCTTACCATGCACATTTTCCAACCAAGCACAGAATTCCTTGAACCTAGGAAAAGCCTCCGATTTCTGCTTGAGATTGTACACAAAAATATATCTAGAAAATGCATCAATGAGAACCATGAAGTATCTATTTCCACCCAAAGAGGGCGTTAGTGGTCCAACCAAATCAGCATGAACAACCTGGTATGGTTCTGTAGCTTTCCTACTAGACACCTTACCTTTCGCAGCCATTTTTACCTTGTTTGCTGCGCATGCTTTGCACTTCATGTGGTACCTGCAGGGTTTAATAGTCATACCTTCAACCAAGGCAGGCATTTTAGATACTGCCTCAAAATGCAAATGACCAAATTTTCGATGAAAATCGTGAATACATTCTGCATGCAAACTTTTGTTAGAACCTGCAATGCAACAAGTGTCATCCTGCACCACATCATCATAATACAAAACAAACAAATGATCAACATATTCTGCATGCAATACATAATCACTTTTCTTTGTGATGATGCACTTCTTGTTCTTGAAGGAAACATCAATGTT